CAAACTCACTACAGAAGTACAATGCCCAATCTTCCTTCTGAGGAGTGGCTGATAGGTTTGAACCACCAGCCTTCTGCTTAGCAGTCAAATGCCTTAGGCACTATGCCAACAGAGATCCCGTGTGTGTGTGTGTGTGTGTGTGTATTAAATGATTCAATTTAGTCACAATTTTAAAACTTCATGTTTTGCGAATATCAAGGCTTGATCTATTTAAAAAAAAAAAACTCATCTTGAGTCAAATAAAGTTGTGAGAATTCAGCAAAAAGGTTTATTTGGAACAATTATACCTCTTTATGCAAACAACTGATGGAAAGGATACAGAAACAGAAGTACTCCTTGCCAGAGACAACTGGATATGCAAGGCTTATGGACTTTTTTATACTAACAACATAGAGTCCAACTATGTCACCACACTTCAATAACAACCATTTTCAGGAATTCACCAGTTCTCATTTCTTTACTGTTTCCTCATCAATTACAATATTTATATAAGAAGATAACTTGGTAGTAATTTTCCAAGAAAAGTTCAAGTAATACTCACCAATAGCCTCATGAAGGCAATTTTACAAGTCATTACCTAGATACCTCTTTGAGGGTCGTCACAAGTTATTGTCACTATTGCTCCTATATCCAGTATACTGGATGTGGACTGAAAACCAGTCTACCCAGTAAACCAAAACCACCCCTTCACTGGAGCTCCAGATTGAGTGGGAACTGTTGATGTCTCTCTTACTGAATTATCTGGCAACTAAATGATGTAAGATCCCCCTGATTCTCATAAAGCCACATGCACAGGTCTCACCAGTTTGGACTACCTGTACTCAGGTACAGATGATCCTATCTCCTTTAGTGTTTTGGGTTCCCCCCCCCCATGTCCCTGCTAGAAGACACACTGACCTAAGAGTTGAAGGTTTATATTCATGTCTATTATGAGGCTGTGTGATGCTGGCCACCTTATTTACTGACTCTGAACTCTATTTTCCTAGCTATAAAATATTTAATATATAGGACATTGTGAAGTCCAAATTAGGCAATGTATGGAAAATGCCTTATAAAAGTAAAGCACTACACAAAATTGAGGCATTCTAATCCTTTGTATCTATGACTTAATTCTCTGGAACAAAAATGATCCTTCTTTCCCTAATTTTAGAGAGATAAATGTCCCTCTAATTCTCTTCTTTCTTCCTACAATGTATTAAAGTGCTTTGTTTGCACATCTCTCTCCAGAGCCTACTCTGGGTTCCTCAAGAGCAAACACAGCCTAATTCATTTCTGTAACTCAACACAGACACCTTGGTAGACAGCTAGTTTTATTTAAAGCAATTAAACTAATACACATGCAGAATTTTAAAATACCTGTTATCTTTCTTTGGCATGCTAGTGATTCTGTGGTTACAGAATTGGGCTGCTAACCAAAAGGTCAGTGGTTCAAACCCACCAGCCACTCTGCAGGACAAAGATGAGGCAGTCTGCTTCCATAAAGATTTACAGCCTTAGAAACCCTATGGGGCAGTTCCACTCTGTCCAATAGGGTTGCTATGAGTCAGAATCGACTGAAAGACAGTAGGGTTTTTTTTGTTTTGGTTTGGTTAGCTTTTTTAAAAAATTCCAGCCCTTGTCTTACTTATGAGGAAGACACTCACCATCCATAATGGCTTCTCCTTTCAGACTCTTAATTCCTCTTGGCATTGCATTTCCATCAAGATAAAATTCAAGTATGCCATCATCCAAGATAATTAGAAGATGAAGCCAAACATTTTCCTCTAAATATTTCACGGCTGTTGTCTTGGCAATATATGTAACATTGGAACCCAAAGTTTTGTAATGAAGGGAAAGTGTCACATGGGATTCATTTGTTTGAATTTTTACCCCATAGTAGATGCTTCCATTTCCATCATCCTTTGCTATAACAAATCCATTTGTATTGGCATTAGGCATTACCCATGCTGAAAATGTAAATTTGGCAATTGTGTTGTTCCTGGAGGGATGATATCTGGGATTAACAGTCCCAAATGCACCCTCTAGTCCACTGAAATACAAAGCATCTGTTCCACTATAGTGACGCCTCATGTGAGTTTGTAAATGCACAGAACTGGGAAAAATTCCAACCAGTAAAAAATCAATCATTGGAGGCAACCCAGCCCTGAACTCACTGGACAGTATTTCCCAGCCTACTCGAACATCACCAAAGACACCTTGTTGCCTCAAAATAGTGAAGTTGGTAATATAAGACATATCATCTTCTGAGAGGACATCTTCTGCCACTTCTCTCTCTAAACATTCTGGATCCAAGATGAAAACTCCAAAGGGATCATCATTGAATGGAATCATTACTGTCACCTGGAGATTGGTTTCTGCTAATTGGCCACCAGGACCCGGGGATCCACCTGAAATTAGAGAATTTATAATAAATGAGACACCAGAATTTGAATTACACACAGTAGAGGGTAAAGCCATCACCTATTTGTCAGCTTGTCATACTTTGGTGGCTTGTGTATTGCTATGGTGCTAGAACATAAGCTATTAGTTTTTCAAATACCAGCAGCGTCACCCTTTGTGTACAGGTTTTAGCACAGCTTCCAGGAAGAAAGGCCTGGTTTTGTACTTCTGAAAATTAGCCAATGATAACCCTATGGATCAAATGATGATCGTGTCTCACAAAGTGCTAGCAGATGAGCACTCTAGATTGGAAGGCACAACACAGTGGCCTCAACAATGGACTCAAACATGCCAACAATCAAGAAGATGACACAGGACCAGGCAAAGTTTTGTACAGTTGTACATGGGGTCACAATGAGTCAGACCCAACTTGACAACAACTACAACAACAACATCAAGTGAGGAGAAAGGAATGTGTTTTGAAGACAAATGTCTTGTTAGTTTACTCAATAATCTCTGAAGAAAAGTGACACTATATGGCTTTTTTAAGAGAAAGACCTGGCAATCTGCTCCTGTAAAGATTACAACTTAGAAAACCATCTGGGGTAGTTCCACTCTTTCTAGATGGGGTTGCTATGAGTCAAAACTGACTCAACGCCACCTAACCACAACAATGGGTTTTTACCACATTCTGAGGGGCATGATATCAAATAACGTGCTTCAGCGTAATTTCAGTCAGAGTGGTGATTAGAAAGTTCTTAAAATTATAGCAAAAGGATCAAGCTGCTACCATAAACCTGTGCTTCCTATTTTCCACTATTGTTTTGTTAGAGACACTATATTAGGTATGGAAAAAGTCTACATACAAGTTTCATTTCACAAACGCAGAGCAAGCTAAGAACGCAAAATGAACATTAATAAATCTATCCAGATATTTTAACATTTAAATGCAATCAAGATATACTTAGTCCTTCACCCATTATATTTCTCATACAGTTCTAATTATTTAATTAAAAATATAAGATAAAAGAAATAAAAAAACACACCACCTGATATGTTTACAAGCTTCAGAATATAAAATTCATTGAACTCAGGAATTTTATCTGGAAAAGCATGGAGAATTATTGGTTTTGCTCCTTCTCCTTCCATAAAGTTAACAGTTCCTGAAGTTTCATAGAACTCTTGTCCAGGGTGCAAAGCAGAATCATTCTGAAACAGCTGCCAAGCCACAGAAACATTGCCAAAGTGTCCTCGATGCCTCAAAATCCTACATAAAAATTGAAGAAAATTGTTTTTATGAAAAAGTTGTAAGAAGTGAATCTATCTGTAATGAAAGTTTTCTGTGTTATCTCAGACATATACTTTTTTTTATCATCTTTAATAAAAACCAACAAGCCACTCCCACTAAGCAACCATGAAGAATCTCATGGAAAGAGAATAAGGTAGAGCTTCAAATAATAAAGAGAAGCAGTCTTATAAGTCATGCTCTTCAAAATCCAAACAGAAAAATAAATTCTAAGCCCAATTAAAAAATATATCAGTAAAAATCAGTAAACATTCTTCAAAAAGCAAAATACAGGATGAGAGTAGTCACATATCATCTGATAGAAGAGTTCCTAAAGACCTTAGATAATACAGGTCTCTCGGTCCTGAAAAAGGAGATAAATTTGAGGTAAGGAGGATGGGAAACACAAATTCTGCTTATTAGCTCAAGTATTAGAATTTTCTGACCAGTGGCAATAGCATAAACAAAGTTTATAGCTTAAGCAGACTGCCAATTGTGAAATTATTCAATTTTTTTTTTTTTTCTTTTTTTCAGTGTTTCCTCCCCTCCACTCCCATGCCTGGTAACCAACAGTTTCCTTCCATACATATATATCTTTCTTTTTTTTTTTTTTTTAATGTTTCCTTCCCTCCCCTCCCACCCCTAGTAACCAACAAAGAAAGCTTCCTTCCATGACTTTTTACATCAGTGAACTAATATAGTATTTGTCCTTCTCTGATTGACTTATTTCACCCAGCATAATGTCCTTCAAGCTCATCCATGTTATTTGGTGCTTTGTAGATTCTACATTATTCTTTAGTGCTCATAGTATTCCATTGTGTGTATGCACCATAGTTTGGTTATTCGTTTGTGGTAGTTAAGTTTCTGTGTCAACGTGGCTGGGCCTGGTTGAGTGGCTGGGCAGCTGGATGTAGTATTCCTCATGATGAGACTGGTAATCAACTCCGTGGTGCAATCTACTATGAGCAGCTGAGTAGCTGCCTTAGGGATATGGTCTGCTTCTGTAAATAAAGAGAAGCCTTGGGGAATGGTCTCTAGCTTATGACACGCTTGAAACCTGTATGTAGCCCTGTCATTGTTCAGCAGCCTTCCATGCTCTGCCAACCTTGGGACTTTCAATGGATTGAATTAATGGCCTGCTGTGTGGTTTGGTAACATCAGGACTATGCCATTTTATTTGTTGACCTTGGGCTTGTTAGCCTCAGCTGCCAGTAGCTGCCTGAGTAAAGAGATGCCTCTAGCTTCAGTGGGTTGGGAGCAAGAACAGAGCTGAAGCCCAAGGTCAAGGGGCTTTCACACAGCCTCTAGAGCCTGGAAATTTGAATTCAGACTTAAAGCCTCCAACCTGTAAGAGAATAAACTCCTGTTTGTTCAAGCTATCTCATTTGAGGTATTTTCTGTTAGAGCAGCACAGAGGTAACCAAAACACCATTCTTCTGTTGATGGGCACCTAGGTTGTTTCCATCTTTTTGCTATTGTAAATAGTGCTGCAATGAACATGGGTGTGCATCTATCTGTTCTTGTCCTGGCTCTCACTTCTTTAGGAAATACACGTAGTAATGGAATGTCTGGATCAAATGGTATTTCTAATTCCAACTTTTTAAGGAATCTCCATACTGCTTTCCACAGTGGTTGTTCCATTTTACAGTCCCACCAGCAGTGTATTAGATTCCCAATCTCTCCTCATCCTTACCAGCATTTGTTGCCTTCTGTCTTGTTGAACTTTGCTATTAGTGCCGGGGCAAGATGGTATCTCACTGTTGTTTTGATTTGCAACTCTCTAATGGCTGATGATTGTGAACATTTCTTCAAGTGTTTGTTGGACGCCTGAATATCTTCTTTGGTGGATTTTCTATTCATGTCTTCTGGCCATTTTTAAATTGGATTGTTTGTCTTTTTGTTGTTGAGGTGTTGGAGTTTTCTATAAATTTTAGAGATAAGTCCTTTCAGAAATAGCATTGCTGAATATTTTTTCCCCAAATCTGTGCGTTCTCTTTTAACTCTTTTGGAGAAGTCTTTGGAAGCATATAAAAATTTAATATTCAGAAGGTTTCATTCATCTGGTTTATCTTCTGCTGTTTGTGCATTTTCAGTTATCCTTGACAGTCTATTTATGCCATAAATTAGGCCCCTAATTTAGCCCCTACTTCTTCTTTGACAAACTTTATAGTTTTAGGTTTCACATTTAAGTCTTTGATCTATCTGGAGTTGTTTATGGTGTGAAGTGTGGATCTTGTTTCATTTTTCTGCAAATAGTTATCCAGTTTTGCCAGCACCATTTGGTAAAGAGACCATCTCTTCCCCATTTAATGGATTTCAGCCCTTTATCAAAAATCAGATGACTGTGGGTTGATGGATCTATTTCTGGGTTCTCAATTCTGTTCCACTGGTCTATATCTGTCATTGTACCAATACCAGGCTATTTTGAGTACTGTGCTGTATAGTAAGTTTTGAGATCCAGGAGTGTGAGACCTCCTACTTTGTTCTTCTTATCCAAGATCTCTTTCAGTTCCATAACAAATTAGTGATTGGTTTTTCCATATGCTTAAAGAATGTTGATGGGATCTGGATTGGGATTAGACTGAATGTATAGATTGCTTTGGGTAGTGTGATAGTTGGAGCTGTGTGTCAACTTGGCTGGACCACAATTTTGTGTGATTTAAGCAGTTGTGATGTGGTTGTTCCCATAATGGGATCAGATGATTATGTCTGAGCAGGCAATCTGTTGAAAGGGAGTTCCCTAGGGGTGTGGCCTGCTTCCAGTATATCCAAGGACATCCTGGGAAAAGAGATATTATTCTGTGGATCAGGATTCTGTTATGCTGCCTACAACTGTCCATGAGTAAACAGTCCACCATTCAACCTGGAGATCTTGGATTCATCATTCGTTGGAGACAACAGTGTATTCCCTGCCAGCCTTGAGCTCTACAGCCCCTGCAGTTGCAAGAGTCAGAAAAGCCTCCAGCTTGACGTTTGATCCAGAAACTTTGGACTTGCCAGCTTCTATAAGTGTGTGAGCAATTTTCCTAAGATAAATTTCTCTATATATACATACATATATAAGCTTTACTGGTTTTGTTTCTCTAGAGAACTCAGTCTGACACAGGTAGTATTGACATTTTCACAGTGTTTGATTTTCCTGTCCACAAGCATGGTATGTTATTCCATTTATGTAGATCTCTTATAGTTTCTTGAAGTAGTGTTTTATAGTTTTCTCTGTACAGTTCTTCTGTGTCCCTAGTGAGATTTATTCCCAAGTATTTTTTTATTTTTGGTAGCTATTGTAAATGGTATTGATTTCCTTATTTCCTTTTCAGCAATCTCTTTGCTGATATAGAGGAACTCAATTGATTTTTGTATGTTGATCTTGTATCCCATCACTACGCTAAATCTCTCAATTAGTTCCAGTAGTTTTTTTGCTGAGTCTCTTGTGTTTTCTAGGTATAGGATCATATCATCAGCAAATAGGAATAGTTTGACTTCTTCTTACCAAATCGGACGTCTTTGATCTCCCTTCTTGCTTATTGCCCTGGCTAGGACTTCCAGTACAATGTTGAATAGAGTTGGTGATACAGGTCATCCTTTTCTGGTTCCTGTTTGCAAGGGGAATGGTTTCAGTCTGTCCCCATTGGAATAATGTTGGCTGTTGGTTTTGCATAGATGTCCTTTATTATGTTGAGAAATGTCCCTTCTATTCCTATTTTGCAGAGAGCTTTGATCAGGAATGGGTGTTGGATTTTATCAAATGCTTTTTCTGCATCAATTGATATGATCATGTGATTCTTTTCCTTTGTTTCATTTATATGGTGGATAACGTTGATTGTTTTTCTAATGTTGAACCATCC